TGGTGGCCTTGGGGCTGGCTACTTTATACAGTTCTGCTGGAATACCATCCTTTCTGGACACTTTGCCAGAGTTCAGTTGTTTGATGACTTTCATAACTTCCTCAACTGATGAAGGGAGGTCAAGATCCTCTTTGATTAGTTTTTTCGGGTAAATGATCAAGGACATGCCGATTAACTGTGGATGGTCTATTGAGTAGACTATTGAAGTGTTCAGCCCATCTCAGTACGTTTCCCTCCTTGTTTTTGATGAGGATTGTGCTATCTGCCGACTTCAAGGGGGCTGTGCCAGATTTAGATGGTCCCGTAGACTGCTTTGAGAGTCAAAGAACATCTTTCCATTGTTTGTATATACATAATGCTGAACTTCTGCTGCTTTCCTCTCACACCACTCATCTTGCATTCTCCTGAGTTCAGACTGGGCTTTGCTCTGTAAGTACTTAAATTCATCTTTCTTTGAGATGGAAGTAAGTTCATTTTGCCATTCAACAAATGCTTTCTACTTGTCACTTCGGAGTTTGGAAATGTCCTCGTTGTTCTCATTGAACCAATCCTGATGTACCTTTTCTTTGGCCCCAGCACTGATTTAGCTGTGTCAATAATCACGCTTGAACTGTTTCCATTTTTCTGTTGGGTTGTCAGTGATTGGCAGACATGAAAAAAGCTTGTAATCAAGTGACTGATGAAACTGCACCGGATAGGTAGTATGCTTGAGCTTTGCTATGTTGAAGGCTATTCTGTTAAGTTTGGGGCACTTGCGCCGTGAAGGGACTATATGCAGGTTCAGCACTGCTCTTACCAATCTGTGGTCTGTCCAGCATTCTGCACCATTCATGGCTTTGGAAATTCTGACATCGCGGCTGTCTCGTTGGCGGGTGATAACATAGTCCATCAGGGCCATTGTTTGGACCGTGGGTGCATCCATGTTGTTTTATATTTATAATTTTGCCTGAAGATGGTGTTAGTAATGAGCAGATTATGTTCTGCATATTTACCCAAGAGGAGCAGTCTGTTGCTGTTCATCTTTCCCATTCCGTGTCGTCCTATCATATCTCTCCAGGCACTGCTGTCTCTACCAACTCTAGCGTTAAAGTCTCCCAGCAGGATGAGCTTGGGGTTGAGCTGATGATGGAGTCCGGGTCAGAGTAGAACTGCTTCTTGCTTTCTTCTGTGGTGGCCAGTGTAGGTGCATAGGCACTGATGATAGCCATGCCATAAAGGATTCAGGGGAAATCGAAGTTTCATGAGCCGTTCATTCAGGCCAACAGGGAGGTCAGCGAGTTGTTTCAGGAGAGATGTTCTTATTGCAAATCCAACTCCATGGATCCTGTCTTCACCCTCTGCTTTTCCTTTCCAAAAGAGTGTAATCACCTCCTAGCTCACTGGAACCTTCTCTGGCCAGTCTAGTCTCACTCAGTGCTGCAATATCAATATCGTAGCGGGCAAGTTCTCTGGAAACAAGAGCTGTTCTTCTCACAGGCCTTTGTGCATCGCCTCCATCAATAAGGGTGCAGACATTCCATGCTGCTGGATGATTTAGTTGGTGTTGGATCCTGCTTTGAGCAGGGGTTTGGACTAGATGACCTCCTGAGATCTCTTCCAACCCTAATATTCTATGATTCTTTGCTCCTACAATGATTTTTTCTTCGTTATTGTTTTTCGATTGCTGTAGGATGATCTGCCAGTCATGGTAGTCTGGCCAGATGTTATGGGGCAGGCAATGTTTAGGGCACCTTTACTAGCCCCTTTCCTTAAAAGGGGTGAGCAGTGCTACTCTTAAAAGGGCTGCTCAGTTGCTTAGACTGCTGCCAAACTTCTCCACTGCCCCAAGAGCCACTAGTCCCAAAGCCGCCCTACGTACAGGGTTGTGGTTACAACTGACTGACTTTCTTTGACCCATGAAATTCTGTTGAGCTTTTGCTGAGATAGAAATGATTAAAATTGCTATCTCCCTGGTGTTTCTCAGGAAAATTTTGGTGGGATGCCAAAAGAATAATTAATCTCAAGCATTCTAAGGACGAGCTGACGCTGCCTCTACAGCAGAAGCAGCATGCTGTATTGAGGATATATGAGAAGTACTGGAGCAGATGTAGCAGGCTGGACTCCTCCCATGCACCCTTTTGAAACCAACACACTGCTCCAGTGGCTGTCTACACCCCAAGGTCATCACATGGGTCAGGAGTTTTCCCAGTTCCCAGGTTAGAAGGGAGTGAGAGAGAGAGAGGGCAGGCCAGACCAGGCAGGGTATACCCAGTGGCACATCTGTTCTCTGGAATAACAGCCTTCTCCTGCCACCTGCTGATATAGTTACTCTTGTGGTTCAAGTGTTGAAGGTCTGTCAGCATTGCTGAGGGTTCAGAGAATAAAATACAATATTGTACTATTTCTCATTTGCAGATATATTCAAATTCAATGCAAATTGCATACATAGGGATGCAACTTGTTTCTGAAAAATTCCCTTCCATCAATGTTAGCTCAGTCTGTTTAAAATAAGAATAATAATAGTTATGGCTCCCTAGTCAGAGCACTTTTAGGCATAGGTTTTGTTAGCTGAGGAAGCAAAATTTAACTGACTTTTCAGCTGCTTAATATTCTGTTCTTTAGGAAAATTAGAACGCTAGGCCTCCAAGTAAAAAGCTGTTCTAAAAATTTCTTTATTACAATGTTGGATTTTTAAAATACTTTCTAACTTCTAACAGTAAATAAAAGTTTGGGCCTAAATTGAAAGTGCTTTTAGTAACTTGTTTTCTGGCATTTATATTTTTCGGCTATTCCTGTCAGATGGTCAGCTTTACGAATCTTACTTTCCTTACACTTTTTTCAACTCTTGTTGTGGTGATTTTGAATGGTTATGCCGTGCTAACGCCTTTTTCTAGATATCTGGCTTCCTTTTACTTAGAACCACAGTATCTAGTTCTGAAGCATGTTTAGGTCTTGATGATAATTCTTTTTCTTTTTGATTTCAGAAAATTGCTGTAGTGAAAGGGATGCTATAGTTAAGCTATTTAACTTCAGTACATATTCACTTGAGAAGTGTAGGTTTGTTGCCACTAAATAACAAGAAGTTGAGTTTGATAAAAGAATCTTTTTCAAATCTGAACAAACTCATGAATGTATTCCTCTTATTCCTTTTTCTCTTCCTCTCCCTGTGTCTACATTACGAACTTGAACTGGCATAGTTCTGTCAGTCAAGAAGGCAAAGAAGTGTGATCCCTGACTAACATAGCTGTGTTGGCAGAAATCTATAGAGTAGATGCAGCTATCTTCAAAACTGCGCTTTGACTGGCATAGCTTGTTTCACTCATGGAATGGGGATGGCTTTAGTATTCTGGTAAAAAGTGCAGCTTTGCTGGTGTAGCTGTGTCCATGCTAGTAACGTTGTGCTGATATAGTATACCATAGCCCTGTACCCTGTAAAGTGCTGCTAGCATAGACATAGAAGGGTAGTAAAACATTTTTTGAAGATGTTTCCTGTTTTTGAACTATTAGGGCTAGTCTGATACTGCAGGGCTTTGGAGCTGTGCTCCAGCTCCAGGTAAAAACCTGCAGCTCCACTGCTCCGCGCTCCAGCTCTGGGCTCCGCTCCAAAGCCCTGCTCCACTGGCTGTGTTAAAGTGCTGCCGCGGCGGAGAGACCTCTCCTAGCGCTCTAAAAAAACAACCTCCACGAGGGGCACAGCTCTCAGCGCTGGTGCACTGTCTTCACTGGCACTTTACAGCGCTGAAACTTACTGCGCTCAGGGGAGTGTTTTTTCAGTGTAGATGAGCCCTTATTCTCCCTTTATTTACTGATTGCAAGCCAAGCATTTAAATTCGCAAGTATTTGAAGAAATTATTGTAGTGTACTGTTAGGATTTGGGCATTTGGGAGTAGAGCAGTAGCCATCTTGTATTAAAGATGGAAAGGATTTTGTTTCTTAGTTTACTGTAGGTTTTTTCTCATTTCATACAGTTTCAGCATTTAAAAGGTTGTGTGGAATTTGCTTGGTACTAGAATAATGGAAAACACAGGTACTGTTATAATCTAATCAGTCATCTCTAATGCCTCCTCCTACTAATATAGAGTTTTTCCTTGAATTTTTTTCTAACATTTTGTCCTGATTAATGTTGATTATCTCTAAGGATTTGCGGGGTACTGGTTCACAACTTTCCTTGGAAGAGTGCTTATTTAAATTTAACTCAGTACAGGATAATAACTTGTTTGCTGAGGCTTGTTGTAATGGATCACTGTGTTTGAATAACTTCATTTAGTAACCAGTATTATTTGTTTGGTAAATATAGAATGTTGCCGTTTTAAGGCTCTCTCAATGCTTTGTATATCTTCTTACGGGAAAAGTGAGGCTTTGTCAGTCATTGGCCATAATTAAAAATGTTAGTCTTTAGTCTGTACTCTATTCAATAGGTTATTTTAGAGTGAAATTTGTCTCCGACGACATCTTTAAGGATATTCACCATCAATCAAAAATTCATACAGCTGTTTAAATATCCATGCAGTATAACTCTGAAAATATTTTTCAGTAATTGTGTTGATTTAGATCTAGAGACTGATTTGCAAATGAAATATTAGATTAATTTATTAGGATTAAAGAATGATATTGGAATGTTGTGAAAAGCATTACCTGAATTCTGTCATGTCCTAAAAATACCAATTTAATGTATTGCCTTATTTTGTCACTTTTTTTAAATCATTTTGCTATTCATCAAATTGATTGGTAAATGAATAGCTTTATGGAACAATTGCATAGCTACTGTACTTTCTGTTCCTGAGGGCAACAAGAAATTCCTATGTAGCCATTTTTAATTGAGGAAAAATAACTTTTATTTGTGGCAGTGAGAGAAGTATCTCATTTAAAAATTATATTGTGTTGGGAGAAATTTTGTGGATTCTGGGATGTAAATTTTATGAACACACCTAAATAAGCTATAGATGTTGTGCATGCATGAAGCAGTCTGTCCGTTTAAAGATTGCTTTGATTTTAAACACTGTAACTTTTTCTCCTTCCAGAAAAACGATCAGGGACAAGTTTTGTTGGATATAGTGTTCAAACATCTCGATTTGACAGAGAGGGATTACTTTGGTTTACAGCTGGCTGACGATTCCACTGATAACCCAGTAAGTTGCATCTGTTTTCTAAACCGTTTTTTTTTTTTTTGCATGTTATTAGAGTTTAGGGATTTTGTTTCAGTATTCGGAGAATTTGATTAATTTTTTTGGAGTTCTCATCTAATTCTTATGTCCATGACAGCTGGTATATTCAATAGACTCAATTTTTTTTAACAAATCTGAAATATGGCATAAGTGTTCTTTGATATGCTTCAAAAAGGACTGTCTCTATTCTGTTGTTTAGATAAAGCTGTCTCACAGGTTATTCTTGTGGGTGCAAGTTTTCACCTGGTATCTCTCACACTGGAAACAATTCCCCCAAACAATTAAATTATGGTTGTACTTATTTTCCCCTCCCATCTCCGTATTTTAAAATGTGAGAATTGGGGTCAAACTTTTTTTTTAAGATTGTTTGAGAGGCCTATTGAGGTTATGCCTAAACTAGTTTTGTGACTAACTCAAGTTAAAATGAGACCACAGACTTTATTCTAGACAAACCCTTAGTCAACATAGAAAGTTCAGGGCTTGGGTATCTTGTAAAGAAGGCAGGCCAGTTGGGGGATATAGGAGAAGATAGAGTTAGAGAGCTGCAGTGATAGAGAAGAGTGGGGGTGAGATGAGGATGTGGGAAAGGAAAAGGCAGATAGTGTGGTGATGCCATGCAGGCACAGTTAAATCAGCTGGCAGCAATGAGGTGTGGAGTGAACTAATCAAATGGTCATTATGTGGTGAAATGTGTGCAAGTTAATTAAATGCAGTAATTAAATGGAGTGGTCTGAAGGCATTAAAAACAGGAAAAGTTTTAAAAAATAAAAAAGGCACTGATGGCAGTCCTCTGCTGTCTGCTCTTGTTTTGGGGCTTAGAAAAATTTGACTGTTCTCTATCTTGAACCGTGAAGCTTTAATAATCTTCTTATGCAGTTCTGCCAGGGAAGAGAGTTTCTGCTGTGTAGAATAGCCTTTTTCTCCATTGCTCAAAAGGTTTTAATGGATTTGTGGACTTTAACTACAATGATCACATACTCTGTCTAGTTTAAGGAAGGTGGGGATGGTCCCAATTTCTTTTAGCGCACAAGGCCCAAAAATTCTTTAATCTGACCCTGCCTTACTATATATTTGAGCTTAAATGTGGCGCTCATTCGGGCAGTGGAAGAGGAATTTCAGTTTAGGTTACCTAGTTGTCCAAGCTTAGTGAAGACTTAAACAGGATCCTAAGGCTTCAAGCCGCTTTACCAAAAGGGTGGAGACATTTTCAATGGAATGGGATGGTAATATTCCAGCTAGTTCTTCAGAGTATTCTCTTGCTCCAACTGGGATCACTTCAGTCTTATTTGGGTTGAGTTTGAGTTAGGTATTCGTTAAGGTGATGACCTGTAGGCATTGTGACATAGATATGATGTCGATTGTTGTGCCTAGATAACAAAATGTACATCTGGACATCATCAGCATACTGATGACAGCAGAGTTTGTGGCACCTCTGAAATTCTCCAAGTGGTCTCATGTAGATATTTGAGGTGGAAGGACAGAATAGATCCATGTGGGCCTCCACAGGTGAGAAACTTTTAAGAAGAGGACTAGTTGCTATCATCACACACTGGGTCCTGGTAAAGAGGACTGATAGAAGTCATTGTAGTACTGTACCATCTTCTCCAGCTAGGTCATATAAGTGGGTCAGCTGCACTTATGGCTAACTTTGTCAAAAACCTGCAGAGAGATTGATTAGTTACAGGTTTGGAATGAAAGTGTTAATGCTTATAGTCATCAAGTGAAAACTGAAATGAGTATGTGACTTTTTTGTTAAATCACTGTTTACTGAATTGCATGATTGTCTTAGCTGGGGTACAAGGTAGTTTCCATTATTGGCTACCAGTTAAAAAAAATGATTTTTAGATTGTTTGTATACATATAAGGTCATTTTTTGTATTCTAGTCCAAAACTGTACACATCTCTGAATCCGTTATATGCTGAGTGTGCTCCAATATCTAGCAAGGAGAGTCAGTTTATTGCTCTAAAACAATGAATAAAAGACTTTTCTGAGCATGAGTGTTTATAATCGTAGTTTACATGCCTTAACTGGCAGTGAGTTCCAACCTTAGGAACATCAAAATCAAAGTTAGAAATATACTAATTGATGGATTAATGGTAACTTTCAATTATCTCTTTTATTATTGCTGTTCTGTTATGGTTAGAATGTTTGTGCAAGAATTTTCATTGTAGTTAACTGTTTAGAATCACCTAGAAGACACTTCATGATACTGTACCATGTGGAAGGCACTATAAGCACAAAGTAACGTACAATATGTCTAAAATTTTGAGTTAATTGGGACAGTTTAAGGCAGGGATGTCAAACATAAGGCCTGCAAGCCAGTTCCAACCTTTTCTTCTGTCTAGCAACTCCCTCTATAGTTTACAAAAGTTATTCAGCCCACATCAGAGCATCTGAGAGGAAGCTGGGATTGGGAGGAATTTTATACCTGACAGGGCACAGGTACTGAACACCTCCTCCTTCCTCTCCTCCCTCTCTACAGCTGGCAGCACTGCAATATTGCACACATGAGACTCAGATGAGGCTCTTTGGCAGCCTCACACACCCTTTGCCCCTACCAGCATTGCCAAAGCTATGCAAGAGTGGAGTCCATACTCCACTCCGTACTGTCACTGAGCCATGCAGCACCAGAGCGAAGATGAGGCTTCTTTTCAGCCTCCTTCCTTCACATTTGCTGCTGTTTCCAGTGCTGCTGAGTTTACAGGATTCATGGAATCAGCTGCTTCTCTGACACCCTCAGCAGCGGTGGCTCCAGGCACCAGCGCTCCAAGCTGGTCCCTGCGAGGGCGGCAGTCAGGCAGCGTGCCTGCGGGAGGTCTGCTGGTCCCGCGAATTCGGCGGCAATTCAGCGGTGGGTACGTCGAAGCCACAGGACCGGCAGACCTCCCGCAGGCATGCCGCCGAATCCGCGGGACCAGGGACCTCCCGCAGGCAAGCCGCCAAAGGCAGCCTGCCTGCCGTGTTTGGGGCGGCAAAAAAGCTAGAGCTGCCCCTGCCCCTCAGATGGAACATGAAGCAGAGGGAGAAACTCCCAAAGAGAAGGGGAAAAGGAGAGACTCTCCAAAGGGAAATGTGGGCAAGGGAGAGACTCCCCCAGAGGTATGAAATTCCTAAATATTGTGGGAGCTTGGGAAGGAGGGCTGGCATTAATATACAAAATGAAATCCTTCCGATTGCAGGAGTGGACTGATAAAGTTTGCGGATGATATGAAGGTGGGAGGCGTTGCCAATTCGGAGGAGGATAGGGATATTCTGCAGGGAGACTTGAATGAGCTTGTGAATTGGAGTATCAGAAATAGGATGAAATTTAATAGTGAAAAGTGTAAGGTGATGGCTTTAGGGATGACTAACAACAATTTTAGTTACAAGCTGGGGACGCATTGGTTAGAAGTAACGGAAGAGGAGAAGGACCTAGGGGTTCTGGTAGACCGGAGGATGACTGAGTCGACAATGTGACGTGGCGGTGAAAAAAGCCAATGCGGTCTTGGGATGCATTAGGCGAGGTATATCTAGTAGGGATAAGGAGGTGCTGCTTCTGTTATATAAGGCACTGGTGAGCCCTCATTTGGAGTACTGTGTGCAGTTCTGGTCTCCCATGTTTAAAAAAGATAAACTCAAATTGGAACGGGTGCAGAGAAGGGCCACTAGGATGATCAGAGGAATGGAAAACCTGTCGTATGAAAGATTTGTTGAGTAGCCCTGTACCCTTCTTCTCTCACACGCCCCAAAACCAAAAAAGAACTATCTGC